GCCCCCGCCACCCGCACCGGCACGTCCGGGACTGCCAGCCCGTCAGGTACGGCAACGTGACACACGAGGCTTGGCCCGGCGACAACACGACGGGTGGCCCGGTGGCGACCACCAGGACGTTTGTGTCGTACATCCCCCCGGGGGGCGAGGAGCGCAGGGCGGTGTACGGCCACTTCACCTTCGTGAGGAACCCGCTGCGGACCCTCTCCGTGCTGGAGCCCGGTGGTGCCGGAGGCTGCCAGGCTCGCCGCAGGGCCACCGTGGAGGAGACTGCGAGGCTCAGGAGCTGTCTGGTGGCCCAGAACGGTGGCTACTTCGACATGGGAACCGGAGAGTGCCTCGGGAACGTTGTGAGCGATGGGAAGCTGGTGAGAAACTCTGGAGGGCTGCAAAATGCGCAGTTTGGCATCCGGAAGGATGGCACCATGGTGTTCGGGTAAGAACCTGGGGGTGTTTGGAGGGCGCTGTCTCCTCGCTGCGGTCTGGTGGGGATCCCTGAGGCAGGAACTGCTGCCCAGGCACTGCCTCCGCCTCTGTTACAGCCTGAGGATGCTTCAAACACTTAAGTGAGGGCTGTCCTACCTGCACCCCATTGGGCTCTCTCTGGCCGTTGCCTTTTTTTCCTAGGCTGAATAGAAGCTGGGTAAATTACTCTGATGATTTCTAGCTGCTTAGGTTCCCGTGTCTCCTCTCCCAACATGCAGCAAGTACACTTGATAACAGTAGAAGGGCAAGAGATTTCTGTCTGCCTCCCAGAGGAGGGGCAGGGTGGACCGTATAACTGCTCTGGGTACAGCACAGGAGCACCGGGTTGGATGGGACCTCTGGAGGTGCCTCATCCAGCACCCTGCTCAGTGCTGGAACAGGCTGCTGAGGGCCACATCCAGTCAGGTTTTGAACATCTCTGAGGATGGAGACTCCACAGCCTCTCTGGGCAAGCCTGTTCCTGTGATTGACCACACTTTACAGTAAAAAAGTTACCTACTGTTAAGTAGAGATCCTGGCGTCTCCTGGACTGTCTGTGCTCCGCAGTGCTGCGCTTTCAGCAGATGGTTAAAGTCCTCCAGAAGTGCCAGGGCCTGTGAACATTGTCCTTTTTCCAGTTTTCTAAAGAAGGCCTACTGGTTCTAGACCAGGCAGCCTGTGGCAGACACCCACCACGGTGTCACCCATGTTGATCTGCCAGAGCTCTAGTCCTGCCCTGGGAGCCCTCAGATGGCTCGGGGTCACTGCCCAGGCAGAGCTCCAGGCCTTCCTCCTGCTCTCCCCTGCAAAGGCCAACTGCTCCCCACTTCTCCCCCCGCATTCCCTGGGTATCTGGCATTGCAGCACTCCAGTCACACACACTGTCCTGCCATGTCTGCAGGATCCCAGTGGGGCTGCAGCCGTGCAGATCTCCGATTGCTCCTGTTTGTGCATTGCTGTACCGCTTCACACAGGCACCCACTCCGGTTTTCCAGGAGGAGGGCGAGAGCTTCCCCATAAGTCCTCTCACCACTTCCTTATTTGTGTGCATATGGCTGAGCTCCTTGCCTTTTGCTTCTGTTTTGTTGCTGTTTCAGGTTCTCTTGTCCGTGTCACCCTGTGGCCTTTGCTTTCCAGCCTGCTCTACTGCTTCCTCATGAGTGCGGGTGGTTGTCTCCCTCCTGTGTCGTTCCTGGTTTAAAGCTCTCCTCAGCAGATTGCCTCTTTACAGAAGTTACTTTTGCCTCACTTGGTGCTGTGGGTGCCATCTCTGCCTGTCAGTCCTCAGAGAGGGTTCTAGCCTTGTAAAAAAACAAATTCTTGTTGTCAACATGAGCTGTGCTACTGCATATTGACCCACAGAACCCATCCACTGCTTCTCAGGCCCTTCTTCCTCCCAGCAGGACTGGGGAGAGGACCACTGGGGCCATCCTTGGCTGTCCCCCCCAGAGCTGGACACACTCCGGGTTTCCCCTGGCAGTGCTGGTGGTGCCCGTGGGGAAGAGCAGCAGGGGATAGTGCTCTGGGGGCTGGAAAAGCCTCAGCAGCCTCCCCACAACATCCCAGATCCGAGCCCCTGCACCCCTCCCTAGGCAGGTCAGCAGATGGGGGCCTCTGTGCCCTGCACAGGAACTTCTCCCCCTTGCTCACCGCCTGCTCTGGTGCTGTAGTTCGGGCTCAGCTGGCACAGACACTGCAATTGAGAGGGCTCCAGCCCCCGCGTGCTGCCGGGGCACTGATCTGGGTAGAGGAAGAGCTCCCAGACTTCCAGCCTTCATCATCACAGGATTCACCACCCCAAGGAGCAGATCCTGGGTGCTCCTGGGCATTGTGGGGTTCAGGAGGTGGTTTTTGCAGGCTGTTAGGGAAGATCTGTCCCTCTGTTTCTCATCATCCTCTGCAGCATGCAGACCTCCTGTAGCTCCTTGTCTCGGCAGCATCACTCCTCAGCCAGCACACTCTAGGAGACGATTTCCCTTGGCCCCAGCTTCAGCAAGAGGCACCAGATATCCCCACAGACCAAGTGCTGCCTCCTCCCTCCACAGCTGGAGCTGAATCGAGGTGTCACTGTGCCAGGGGCAGTTATAGAAGTTGGTGCTGGAGGCTGTGCCCTGTGGTGTGTCACACAGCTGACCACAGGCACTGCAGAGCTTCCAGCTCCCCACTGCACAAGCCACAGCATCTCTTGGCTGCTGGGAGCTGTGGTCTCAGCCTGGGGGTTATATAGGCCTGTTCCTGGCACCCGGTGAAAGGGTGGAGACTCCCTAATCAGCTGGAGACAACAGCTCAAAGCACCCTCTGATGAGCAACAGCTGCCAGAGGCACTGCTGGTGCTTGCTGGAAGTCAAGGCCCCTGGTAGCTACCCTTCCCCAGCAGCAGCAGGCACCCTGAAGGTCCTAGGAGGGTTCCCAGAGGTCCTCATGGTCTCAGAAGGCTGAGAAGCAGTCTGGAAGCTGCTGCATTCTCCACCCTTCTGTGAGCCCACTCCCACGTGCCCTCAGACCTCGGCAAGGGTCCCCGCAAAGCCGAACTGACTATAGCAAGGGACGGCTTTAGCCTGCGGCGATTCCCCAAGAGCCCTGAGAACCGTGGCCTTACATGTAGGTGGTGGAGTTGGTGGTGTGTCCACTTTAGTGAGGAGGCTTCTGCCGAGGGTCCAGTGGCAAGGTCCCTGTTGAGTCCTTGCTCTCAGCCCTGCCCTGCCTCCCTCCTGCTCGGGCAGGATTTCCCTGCTACATGCAGGCACTGCGCTGGGCGAGCTGTTGGCTGCTCGGTGTCTTTGTGGCTTCCAAAACATGACACTAGAAATGGCATTGGTGTAAATAATCTGGACAGTCGGAGCAGTGGGAAAATAGTTCACACTTGGCCATCTCATGATGTCCTGAGCAGCAGGACAGCGCACCAGGACACATTGTTACCCCCCACCTAGCGAAGACGCTGCCTCTGCCACCTTGACCGGCGATGGATAATTGCAGGCTTTAAAAGCTGACGGTTGATTAGTCCATGCCCAACCTGCTGTGCCATCGGATCCGTTTTCAGCTGTGTTTGTTTTGTCTCTGTGCTCCCTTCCCGTAGGCAGAGGCATTTCTTTTGACGTGTTTTCCATTCAGGTATTTTCAATTACACTTTTCTACACAGTGTGAAGCTTTGTTTGGCTGCAATCGTGGGTACTAAAAAACCTAACAGTTGAGATCCAGCTCTGAGACGTGTCTGGAGCACTCAGTTTTAAACCTAAAACCGCAGGCAGAGCTTACAGCGAGAGCACAGCTGTCCAGCCCCAGCCTTTGCTGCCGTCCTCTCCGGTCAGTTCCAAACATCACCATCACTCGTCGGGTTCTGCTGAGGCGGATGTTGCTCAGTACCCAAACTCCTGAGAGAACACCCCTTGGGAAGCACCCCACAGTGACACTGAACACCTAGTTATGGCAGCAGTCGCTGAACGGTGCTTTCACTGCCCGGCTGCTGAGGGGAAGGTGTTGCTGTCTGGCAGAGCGGAGGATGCTCTCTCCCAGGCGGAGGGGAGCAGGTCACACCAGCGGTGTCTTCCCCTCCGTGCAGCTGTGGGCAGACTGGGTGCTGTTGCTGAAAGCCCTCAAAAGCTGCTGGGTGTTGCTGTTTTGCAGAATGGGAGCTGACAGACAGTGGGACGTTACAGCTGCTTCCACAGATCCCTGAGTATTTGGCAGCGGCTCTGCCTCATCTTCTGCCAGGTGTTTTCTGCCCTGGTTATCCCGGCTCAGGTCTGCTGGCCACGCTGTCAGCAGGAGCTGCTTCGTGGATGGTGGCCCGGGACCATCGTTAACAGTGGTTTTGTACAGAATAGCGGAGAAGAGGGTCTACTCCGCCTGCTGAAGTGATGTTTTGCACTGCTTGGCCTATAGTTTTGGATGTACCTAGGTTTCGTTCAGCCGCCTTCTCCCCTTCTCCCTGCTTCTGGAGCCTGCTGGCAGCAGAAGAGGCTTTTAGGTGACACTGCTGTGACTGTGGGTAACCCCTCCTGCTCTCTTTCCTAGTTACCTGTCCGAGGAAGATGTTTTGGATGAAGCAAACCCTTTTGTGCAGCTTGTGAGCGGGGTAGTTTGGCTCCTGAGAGACGGGGAAGTGTACGTCGGTCAGAGTCAAATCGCCGAGTGTGATGAAATTCAAACCACAGGTAAATATCGTAAAGCCTGCCTTCAGCCGGGGCATGGATTGTCCTTCTGATGGGGCTGTTGGAAGGAGGGGGTAGCAGTGGAAACTGTTGTCTAGTTGCAGTTTGCTGCTCGCTGCAGAGGTCCAAAGTTCTTCTGTGCTGCTTTACCCTGAGTCCACGGCAAGTGCGGTACAAGAAATAACCTGGCTGCAGGGTGAGGCTGCGTTGGCCTGTTCAAGGCTGTTGAACAGGATTTGCTGAGGGCTGTCAGTAGTGGTGGCATGGTTGGAGTTAATACTTGTCCAGAGAAACTCGAAGCAGATGATTCTTACAGGAGTTTAAAGCTGAGGGCTTCTGAATCCCCTTCTTTGACCCTGTGCCAGAAAAAACCGAGAGTGCTTCTGGACATGTTATTCCTGGATGGGCTTGGATGAACAGGAGGAAGCTGGGCTCTGTTCTCGTTGTGTTTCAGTGTAGATGAGCTCCTCGCTGGGAGCTGTTTTGCAGACAGATGTATCTAAACAGCCAGTTCTGTCACCCAGCTGGTGCGTGAATTATTCCTTCTCCTGCACAGGAACCTTCGACAAGTTCATCAACGTGATCTCAGCCAGGACTGCGGTTGGACACGACAGCCAGGGGCAGCTGGTCCTGGTCCACGTGGATGGACAGACAGAATCCAGAGGGTAAGGCCAGGGTTATGGTAATGTCTTGGGGCAGGTGCGAGATCGGTCTTTAAGCTCTGTCACTGGGACTGGAGGGACCCTGCGGCTGGCAGTGATACTTTGAAGGCAGAGACTTGGATTGCTCAGGAGGTCAGCTGAAGACACCGCTGTCTGGTGTCTTTCCATCAGCTGGAAAAGGCGAATGCAGCCTCCAGGCAGTGAGCCAGCGTACCTGGGGTGGGAGAGCTTTTCCCTTCCACCAAGGAGAGGGACCAAGCTTCTGGTGCAGCAGTTTTGCTGAAGTCAAATAGCCTGAATGAGCAACAAACAGCTGTTTGCTTTTGCAGGGTCAACCTCTGGGAAATGGCTGAATTCCTGAAGGAGCAGGGAATCATCAATGCCATCAACCTGGATGGTGGAGGGTCTGCAACACTGGTCTTAAATGGGACCCTTGCAGGCTACCCGTCTGAGCACTGGTAGGTGCTGGTTGCACGAGTAACCCTGCAGCTCCCGTTAGCGAGCAAAGTTCAGTCCTGCTCCTCCGCTCTGCCCCGGAGTCACTCTGCATTGCTGGGAGATTGCGATGTAAAGATGAGTGACAAGGTTTGAGAGAGTGTGACTCTAAAATTTAAAGCGATTTAGTGACTACGTATTTTTTTCCACTTAGTCATCCGGGATTAGTTTAGCTGCTTTCAGACGTGCAGCAAAGCTGTTTGACATGACTGGGTGACCTGGTGTGGGAACCAGATAAGGAAGCAGCTCTTAGACTGGGAGATTCAGAGCTGTACATTCGCAGGAGTTAGCAGAGATCTGTCAACAGCTTCCTGCTATGGAAGAGAAACACTGACTTGGAGACCCTGCCCTGCCTCACGTGAGGGAACCTAAAGAATATTTTACTTTAAATTCCAGTTTTTCGTCATTTCTGCCTGTAAACAGAAGGGATTTATAATTAAGTTTGCAGTCTGACAGTTGAAAGCCAAGCGTTGCTATAACTGGGATGGCATCACTTATGTCCAGGCAAATAATAGTCAAGAACAGGCGTGTTGAACACCAAAATCAGGGAAGCTGGGATTCCTCAAAGGGAAACTTTTCATGTTACTTTCTCTAATTCCATGTTGAAATGACTCCTGTCCACCAGGAATTAACACTTAAAACATTGACTCAAATCTAGTTTTATGTTTCTATTTTCCCATTATTAATGTTCCAGTCTGCCAATGTGAATCAGGATGAACACTTGTGGGTTGTATCAGCGGGTTTCACGTAGGGCTGGGAGCAGCACAGTGCTTGCACATCTCATGGGACCCATTTTCTGTCCCCAGCTCCTTCGACAACATGTGGCGTTGCCCTCGGCGCATCTCCACCGTCATGTGCATCCACGAGCCCGCCTGCGAGCCCGCAGACTGCAGTGGCCACGGGGACTGCGTGGCAGGGGAGTGCCGCTGCGCTGGGGACTTCTGGAGGGGTCCAGCCTGTGACACCTTGGACTGCGGCCCCTCCAACTGCAGCCTGCACGGCGTCTGCACCGGCTGTGAGTCGCTGCGGCGGGCAGAGCTTCCAACACGGGGTGCCAGGGGGTATCTCTAGAGGAAGCACGACCTGGGCAGCGTGTACGTGTACGCTTACCTGCCTGCCGGGCTCCGCGGTGGGGCCCCGGTGTGTCGCAGCGTGTGGTCCTGGCTGCTCACAGGGTCCTTTCCCATGCTGGTGCGAAGCAGCGTAGCTCACGTGAACTGGCAGCAGCAGAAGCCGCTCCCTTTGCTGGGGGAGCACCCAGCCCCGGGAGCCGAGTCCTTTAGGGCCACAGGTGCTGGTTGTGTGGCCAGCCCAGCCCTGACTCTGGAGCCAGCTGGTGCTGGTGCCTCAGCCCTTGTCTCACCTTCTGGGTGCCTGGAGCTGCTCTCCCCCTTCCCTCCAGCGTCTGGAGCAGCAGCAGAGATGGTCAGAAGGCATTACAGTGCTAGGCTGGGACTCACACCTGGAAACGGGACCTGTCACAGGACTTGACTCCAGGCTCTGTGCCTCAGTTTCCCTTTCGTACTCCTGGCTTCTTGTCAGTCTGCTGGTGGGGACGGCAGAGTATTACCCTGTGTGACAGAGCAGCTGGGTTCTGTCCCCTCCCCTTATTGCTCCTTTTTGACTCTCCTGCTTCAGGATTTTTACAATTGTGCAATTGCTGCTCTTCAAGAAAGTTGTTTTGAATCTCAGGACTGCCATAACGTACACCTCCAGCTTCGGCTCTCCCGTGCCCGCTCAGTCCTGTTTTCCTGTTTCTTTGCTGCCTCCCTGCTTCAGTTCACATCCCAGTTTGCACCAGTGGAGTGACTGGGCAGCTCAGTGTTGCTAACAGGGTTAATCTCTCCAAACCCGGTCAGGAGCAGGTGCTGCTGTGTTCCGCAGCTGCAGTGGGTGGGTGTTTGACCCTAACCTGGGCGTGAGGGCAGGATTCCTCTTCTGGGGGTTCCTTGGCAGAGGCAGGGGGAGTTCAGGGGGCACCCTAAGAGGCAGAAGCTCCTCATTTTGAGTTCTTGCTCTTTCTAAGCCTCTCTGTGTTGTAGTTAATTCCTTTTTGTGTGTTTTTACAGCTGGGTGCCTGTGTGACGCTGGCTGGATGGGCAGCAACTGCAGCGCAGGTAACGCTGACCTCCATCCCCTCCCTCCTTCAGAGCCAGCAGAAGGACAGTGGGACCCACTGCCTGAGAGCTGCTGCAGGGCTGGGGGCTCCCCGCGGGGGAGCAGCGAAGGGAGAGGTGACACAGTGCGCTGCTCCTTTCCGTCAGTGGGAGCTTGGCTGCAGCCTGAGCACCTCGGGCTTGGTGTGAAGCGCTTTAAGCCCCTGCTGAAGGCACAGGCTCAGCGTCTGTTCTCCAAGCAGCCATCAGCTCCCCGTGACTGCTCCGTGGGCATGAGTGTGGGGTGGGATCACTTGCCTGTGTGATGAGGGCCCTGCTGAGATCTCCGCTTGTCTCCTCCAGCTTGCACTAGTGGTTTCTACGGGGCCGCTTGCACCCAGCAATGCCTGTGCCAGAACGGCGGCTCGTGTGACCCCGTGCACGGCGCCTGCTCCTGCCCCACTGGATACTACGGCACCAGCTGTGAGCACGGTAAGGGCTGCTCTGAGTGACTGCCTGGGCTGGGGAGGGGATTCGGTGTCACATCTGAGCCCCCTCTTGTAGGCAAAGCGAGCGCGAGGTCTGCCAGGCAGGCTCAGGCCCAGACTTCACAGCTGGAGCGTAACCTGCGGGCTCTTCAGGGCTTGCCTGCCTGACCCAAACGGGGTAAAAAGCAAAGGAGGGAGCAGAGGGGAGAGAGGAGTGTTCTTTGTCATTAGAAAATGCTGGATTCCCATTTAATCTCTGCCCCAAAGAACTCTGTTGCTTTCCCAAGCTCCCGAGCACAGAACACAAACACTCAAACGTCCGTCACCGAGGGCGTTGCACCAGGCCCTGCGTACAGCCCGGGCTTCAGGGGATCCAAGTCTGAGTGAAACGCTGCGGAGAGGCCGTACTGGCGCGTGACCCTCAGACCCTGGCTGTACAGGTGCTGGTGCTGACAGCCCGGGATGCTCTCGGTTGTGTAACCACTCCAGCCTTTGCTCGAGGCCCCGTGTGTCTGCCAGAGCAGCTGCTCTGCTGCCAGGACACGTTCATTGCAGAGTGGGTGGCAGCTGCCTGTGAGCCTGGTTACGTTACCGAGGCTTTGTTCTCAGCCTAGGAACACTCAGCCAGCCCCAGCCCTGCTTTACAAAATCTCTGTGAAGTAAACAAAATACCAGCAGTTAACTCACACTGGAGGAAGCTGGGGGCAGGCGGAACAGCTCTGTCAGGCTGCAGGAAACCTGGGGCCATGACTGCTCCCCCTTTAGGAATCAGCCTCCGCTGCCCCCTCAAAGAGCAGGGCGCAGCTCAGCTGGACAGGGAGGAAAACGCATCGGAAGCAATAAGGCCCGAGGCTGTTGTGGGGACAGAAGCAACACAAACACCTTGTTAAGATGCAGGCAAAGTTTGAGCTGCTCCTGCAGCCCCGAGTGCACCTGTCCTTCCTGGCACGGAGCTGGTGCAGTGTGGGAGACGGGCAGGGGGGCTGCAGGGATAGGCTGGATGGTTTGGAGCAGGTGGGGCTTTGGCAGTGACCAACTTCCTTGTCATCGATTCCCCAGAGTGTCCCCTGGGCTGGTACGGGCCAAGCTGCCAGAACCGCTGTGCATGCAAACATGCGTGTCCCTGCGACCGGGAGACGGGCAGCTGCAACATCACCTACGAACCGGCCGTACAGGAGCAGTTAAACAAAGGTACCTCCCAGTACAGCAGCTGTGTCTAAAAAAAAAAAAAAGTGCGTAATGTTCTGTTTGCTTAGTTATCAGCTCTGGCTGTCATCTTAGTTGAGCTTGCTCTTTTTCAGTGGAATTTTACACCTTCCCCCCACTGCCTTTCCTCCCTCTATTCTTTGTTTTCCAGCTGGGCAGTGTTTGGCCTTCCAGAATAGGAAAAGGAGCGAAGAAAAATTCTCTCTGTCAGAGTAAGTGTGTAACACTCCTCACACACGTGTGCACATGCGCACACCCCGCCAGTCCCTGTGCTGACTGCTCCCTGCGAGCTGGAGCTGTTCCCCCTGTCCTGGCTGCCAGCGCAAGGTGCCAGCGCAGCTCAGAGACCTGCTGCTCCGTCACCCAGAACATCCATGTTCTGGCTTCATTGTATCACCTGCAGCCCTCGTGCTGGGAAAGACGAGGACAGGGAAGGCAAAGGGGTAAAGCTGAGCTGAAGCCCCTCTCCCGGGCAGTGCAGGCTCTGAGCCCAGCGCTCTGCAGCGCACAGTGACACAAGAGCCACATTTCCGCTCCCGCTGATGCACTGGAGCTGTGACAGGCCGGCATGGGCAGTTCCAGCCCCAGAGCACAGCTGCTGCGGTGGTGAAGTGACAGTCACTCTGTGGGCACAGCCAGGCACTTGTAAAGCGAGTGGGAAGCTAAAATCCTCCATTTCAAAAGCTTTCCCAGAGCCTGTTCTCACCTGCCCGAGAGCAGAGAACTTGTGATAACAGAGGAGGGAGAACAAACCTTGAGAAATCAGTTGCAACACGTGACTGCAGGTGAAGAGATGTTGCTCACGTGGCTTTTTCTTGTCTGACAGAACAGCCTGGCTCTCCCTGACCTCCGTCCTGGCTCTGCTTCTCGTCATCAGTGCCATGGGGAACGTGGGCCTCTTCCTCAAGGCCAGCTCAGGGAGGCAGCGGGAGAGCGGGGACTATCTGTACCACCCGCTGCGGGAGGTGAACGGCGAGGCCAGTCACACCCCCGCATCCGCTGCCTGCGAGATGGAAGATACTCGGGACCAGAGTCAGGCACTCCTGCAGAGCCCCGGCTGAGGAGAGCGGAGGTATTTTACTCACCACAATGCTGCGCCTCGTGCTGCCGCTCAGCACCGGCTGTTACAGAGGTTACTCAGAGCTGGAGTGTAAAACTCCCGATTAACCCCAGAGATCTCTCAGCCCAGGAAACTCCCTGTCCTGGGAGGGACACGCAGGGGGGTGAGGGAATTCCACAGCTGCAGCAGGAAGGGAAGCGGGCTGCTGCCCTCCTGTACTTGAGGGAAACAGGTGAGGAATGTAATCCCTGGCACTGCAGAAAGGTCCCTTTCACCTGCACAGTGGTAGATAGTTTTAAGGTCTAAGATGAATTGCCTCTAGCATAAAGCTAGGCTTGAGGAAGGTGTGTGGGCTATAGCTGTCTGCCCCTTCCCTGGCAAGCTCAGACTTTTATCATGAGACTGAAAAAGTTGTCTTAAAATGTTGAACCAGGTGCAGCAATGAAACCACAACATTCCTCCTGCCGCCCGCAGCAGGGGGCTCAAGGGCTGACACACAGGGTGGGTTGGGGCTTTCTTGCCCCCGACTTCCCTCACTGCAGGGCCGGAGCGTTTTCTGACTGAATCGCGAGTCCTAGCAGCAGCCCAGCCGGTACTCGCTGAGTGCTGCACTTCTGGTACAGTACATAAAACACCTTCTGAGTTCAAAAAATTCATTCTTGCATTCTCTTGTACGTTGCAGAAGCCAACGTGCTTTGCCCACCTGCGTGGGCTGCCACCGAGGTCCCCAGCCTCGAGCTCTCCCACCTGGGGACAGGAAGAGAAAGCAGGCGCCTGGCCCAGGGAGCATGACACGACCCCTGGGCCTGGGCTCGCTCAGCCTGCGCTGCCCCCGGCCACGGGACAGTCCCCGCAGCCCCACTCCCTGCTGCTGAAACCGCCCGGCCCTCCTTGGGGACAGCGACTGCTGGCAGCGAGCCAGGACCACCGGCAGTAAGTGCTTCCAGCAACCCCAGATCCTGAACATCTCGCCTGGAAATGGGACACTTCACCAGAGTAGATGATGGGAATGCATTTGTACAGAGAGGGAAAAAAAAAAAAAAAGTGCTTGAGTTTGCTTCCATGTGAGGGAAAATGAGCCTTTAACTTGCTCCTGGAATGCTGCAGAGGGGTTCGACGCCTGTCTGAGCCGGGACATGAACATTTTTATGCGCTGCCTCTCTCTGAGTAAAGGATGTGTAAGTTTTGTGCTGCTGTTGGCATCAAAGCAAGCTGTAAATGGAAGAGTCTATTTTTCTATTATTTACAGAAGACTATTTGAAACTTTAATAAAGTCTATTAGTAATAACTGCCCGAAATGTCAGTTCTTAATGGGCAGCTGCAGAAGGAAAACACGATCCTTTCCCAGTTCATCTCCATTGGCCGTTCCATCCCTGGGGGCCCTTTTTATTTTAAATAACCAACCACACTGCAGGATGATGTGTTGTACCAGCCTGTGCTGGGGTATGGAAATCAACCAAAAATGACAGTTGTGCAGGGAAAAATTAATATGTTAGTTAAAAAGTAGGAATAACTGAATCCAAGCAAGACTTACCTCTTTTGCTGTGGGTAAAGAGAGCAGCACACACGCGTAAATTTTCAGAGTTTGCCACACTTTGAACAGTTGCATCAAACAACCAGGCGTGTTCTTTAAAGATACTTTTTTATTTCCAACATACAGAAATGTACAGCTCCCACCCAAACCTACAAATCCTGTAACTAAGCACACTGGTTGTCAAGTCACATGTTCCAAAGCACTCCCCACATTGCTGGGGTGCTCTTGAAGAAGGTTTGGGGATTTTTTTGGCTGAGAAAAATCCAGATTTCAATATATGACAAGACAGCTGCAAGGGAGAGAAAGTAAGACAGTGCTTGCTAAAAAAAAATAATAATTATGCCCCTTTAACTGACATGTAACTAATAGCTCGGAAGAGGAGGTTGATGGCATGAAAAGCCAGTGCACATCACACACCCGTTTAGCCTTCTGCAATAGGAGTAATTCGATGTAAGAATCGTCACAAAGGCGTTGGAAGATGGCATGCGGGAATCTTTGACGAATGCTTGTCAGTGTTAGTCCTTAGAGCCCCGTAGCTCTCTTTCTGGCACTATTTGGCTCACAGGATAAACTTTTGGATATTAGAGAAGTGTGAGCTAGCAAAATGCCGTTTGAAACAAGGGATTCCTCTGGCACCACTGGCCTCAGCTACCACAGCAGCTTCACACCCGGGCTGGCAGCTGGGCTCGCCGCTGCCTGCCAGGAATTCTGAGCTGCACTGTTAACGATTTAAGATGACTGGATTATGGCATTTTCAAAATCTTTTGATGAATAAATCAATCGCGATTATAAATTATTCTTAAAAGCTATTTTTTTTCCTGTTAGGGAATTGGTACAACCAACCTGGGCAGCCATAAGGCTGAGGTGAACAAGGCTGGGTCTGGAACTCTGCAGCAAAAACATTTGTGCATCCAAAGCGAGTGCAGTCACTCAGAATTCCCCCTGTGCAGGCAGGATTGCTGCCAGGATGGCTCTTCCCCCAAAAAGGGGGAAGCAATCCCCAGCAGCATGGTTCTTCCCCAGCAGCAAGTACACGGGCAGCTGAGAAACAACCAGGACGCGCTCTGGGTGCCTCCCTGCTGACAGCGCAAGTGCCTCGGTGTGCGGGTTCACAGCTTCCCCTCGGCACTCGGCAGCGGTGCAGTGGCCAGCGCTGCTGTTCCTGCGCCTTCCCAGGCCAGAGTCCTGCTCGGTCCCTCTACGAGGCCAAACTGGTCTGGCTACAGGAGTTAAAAAAGCCCTTTTCGAACCTGGAAGATGGCAAAACGCTCAGCCAAAATGACTCAGTCCCTGCGCTCCAGCTTTGCCCCGAGTCTAGTGACATCCATCTGCAACGTGCCCACCGGTGACACGCTCCGTGTCTGCCTTTCCCAGTCCTACTGGGACAGAAGTCAGTAAGCGTTGGGATGGGGCAAACCTGGAGAAATTGCTGAGAAGAAAGGTTTCCCGTATGGCCACCTTTCATTGTAAACCATGGCGCAACACTTCGTACCTACAACACCGCGTCCCTTCTGAGCTCTCGTACCGCACACTAAACATGGCAACAGCTCTTTGAGGTAGGTTTTGTCTCTTGCATATGGAATACCTGAAACAGGGGAAAGCCACAAATTACTGAGGAGCTATATTTTTATTTTAAGTACCCAGCTAGTTACCTGAGCACAGCCTGAGCTCACTGACTTCCCTGAAGAGCAGCTGCTGGGACGCTGCACCCAAGCCTAGAGGATGGTTTTTCAAGGTTCTTACAAGATTTTGGAGATGAGCGGCTCCCAGGGAGCCAGAATCCAGAACTCCTCCCAGTCTCAACTCACAAGAGGTTGCTATGAAGAAAACTGTGTTTTATTTTCTAAAGCACACTGATGTCATTTTAGGGGGAAAAATGGGTGTTTAGAGTAATTCTGCTTCTCTTGTATCTGTAGTTCAGAGACCTGTTTAAAAAGCACAGCGTCAGCCACACCATCCGGGCTGTTGCCCTCTTTCTCCTGTTATGTTAGTGTTCAGGAAAAAAAAAAAAAGGAAAAAATCCATATTGGATTATTTAAATTGACAGCTAAGTACATTAGTAGGTGAAATAATCCAGGCAGTTTGTTTAAAACTGATAAGGGAGAGGTCACAAGCTGCTTCCTGTGGGCAGGAGCGATACCACCGACAGCAAGAGGAAAAACTGCGTCTGTCGCACCCACAGAGCCAGCTGGAGGGTGCGCCCCGCAGGACCAGCCCTGCAGCTCTTCCCTGCTCAGTCAGGGACCGGCCAGAGGGACCAAGCTCCACGTGCATCCCTGACAAGAGGTGAACACCCAAATTTTACAGCACACGTCACATTTTAAAATCAGTAAGTCCAGTGCGATGGAAGAGATTCCTAACCAGGGCAAACCAAGGGAAACGGGAATGTCACCACCACGGGATGTGACCAACCATTTAAGAACCAAGCCACAAGAAGCTGAAATCCTGAAACAGCATGGGGAGGATGGGGCTGGGTTTGCTCTTGATGCTTTGGGAGCCGGTTTGAAACTCTGTTTCTAGCACCAGAATTAAGTACGGGTAAAGGATTTTACGTTGGGGATGCACACATGCACTGCTGACTCCAGAACTCTTGATTTCCCAGAGCAAAGGTGGTACTTGTCCCTTTCAGACTCCAGTTACGCTGAAATGCCACAGACAGAAGTTTCATTCTTCTGGGAGAAATGGTGAAGACACAGAACCAGGGAATTCTCTCAAGTCAGACCTTTCCCGGAGACCTGCGCAACTATGGTACCCGCTCTGCTCCCACAGCGAGAGATACAGGGAGAGGAATTTCCTTCATTACAATCCTTGGAAAAGAAACCCAAAAAACAAGCAACTTACAGAGACACACCAAGCAGGTCCCTTCCAGCTGAAGGATTCTATTCTAATGTTCTCCGTCTCCCATTGATCCAAATATCGGGGCTCTTCTCTCCTTTGTCACTGCCTGGTACTTCAAACCAGTAATTAACAAAGCAGGCTTAGGAGGAACTGCTTTACACGTAGGCTGTTCTTAGCTGCACAGATTCCATCAATCTTAATAAACACGTGGTGATGGGAAAAAAAAAAATCGAAGTCTTTACTGAGAAACACAGCCACAGATATGGATGGGCTGGAGGAAGAAACCACACTTCCACCACTGCCTGTGCCCCCCGCGCCAAGCCCAGAGCTGTCGGTGCCCTTCCCCAGCTGGGGAACTGGAAACTCCTTCATTTTAAACCACGTTTGCCGTGTGTGACACAAGCCACTCGGAGGCGATGACCTGAATGGTGGCAGGGGCAGCATCCTCCCAATCCTTCCGTAGGATCACAGCGGATCTGTGCACAGGCGGGGCCAAGGTCTTCCCCCAGCCCAGCTGATCCCAGAGCAGACACCCGTCCGCATCACATCCTGCATGTCTGCCCGCTGCAGACGCTGCCCCAGGGCAGTGGAGCACTTGATGCCGATTCTCTTTCTGGTGCCACCTAGGT